GTTTCTGCCATTTCTTCCTCGGTACGCTTCTGTCTCCTTTTTTTTGACTTCTCTCAATTTTCTCTCTCCATTTTTACACGCCAACTCCATACTCCTCGATCTTCACCCGTCTCATTTCTCTCGATTGACATTTCTCTCTCACACTTTCCATTTTCATTTTCTCCATCTCAGAGAAGTCTTCCCTTCTACATCTAGAAACAAGCCCTCATCTTCCTCCTTACCCTCCACCTCCACCGGTACCGGGAAGCTTATGAACCGCTGCGATGCCCGAGCGCCGTCAAATCTTAGTACCAGCAAGAACAAGTGCTCCGATGGTGCGCAGGTTTTTATTTTTTTCCTATTTTTTTGCAATATACGAATTCTAGGCGATTTTAGTGGAATTTGTGGATATTGAGTTTTGGGTCTTTAAGTTTCAAAATATTTCCATTTTTTTTTTCCTTTTGGTTAAATTTATCTGGGTTCGATTTTTGTTTATTGTTTTGTATGAAAATGCGTTGTCTTGTACTCTTGTTTGTTTATTATTCTCTGTTAAATGATTGACAAACTTTCTTTTGTATTAGATCTTCCAGCAGATGTTCAATGGATCCATTTCTGTTTTTGGCAGGCGAAAATTTATTGTAGTTCTAAATTGTTTCTTTGAATGTATCATCCTTCTAATGGTTTAGTCTTATGCTTTATACATGACGAATTTCCCTATTATATGGGGCTTACAGTTTGGTGATAATTACAATTGAGAACTGGAGAAGATTTCAACATGTTCTGAACAGGTGCCAGGGTCCGGTTCCCGCCACATAGCAAAAATGTGTTGATGGGAATTTCTTCTTATGTTTTGTTGTATACTATAAAGTTTAGAATCAGTTTTTGGTAGCTTGAACGGTGTGGAATTGTAGTAAAAAAAACTTATTCGTGCCTATTTTGCTTAATGTAGATTAATGGTTTCAAGTGGGATTTATTCTGAGCACCTGTATCAACGGTGCTTATGTGCTGGGTTTGATATTCTTTACCAAAAATACTGCTTCTCTGGGCCATTTCTTAACTCTTGCTTGCACATCTCTGATAATTGAATGGTCATTGCAGAGGGAATTGAACGTGACCATATGCATCAGATCCCATTCATTCCATTGTCTGACTGTAGGTCAGCCCAACACTTGGTTAGATTCACATCAAGCTCTATGGATCCCAAATGAATGCAACGCTCGAGCTCGGTTACTTTATTTCAGAAGTTAAAGTAAGAACCAAGCTAACTATTAATTAATTTACTTTCACTTTTGAACACTTCGCAAGGTTTATAGATATGCTCATTAGTTATAAAATCTGTGTATTGTTCTCTATGGTTTTTGGAAAGCTCGGGGGATTGATGAATGATCTTTTGAAGGTGGACTTGAGAATCTTGAGTCATCAATAGAAGCTGGCTTTCTGACTCAACATGTACAATGCTTCTCCCATGCATGTATATGGACTTTTAAATTGTCGTCTCTATTTTTCTTTTATCTACTAATTTTTACACTTATGGCTTATTGATGTACTTTTTTAGATGTTTGAATGGTTTTTTCTTCCAAAGGTTCCTTCAATATGGGATTCCCAGCAGTTCTAGACCCGAGAGTCTGCTAAAACTTATCAACAAGGTAAATTAAAATTTAATTAGCAATCTGGAGATAATTCTTTCAAGTTCTTTAATTGGTTAATGAGTAAGGTTGTTTCCAGCTGGAGAACTTGAGAGATTCCTAACTTGCTTCTTCATTTCAGGCAACTTTGAATATTGTTGGCAGCACAGTAAATCTCTACTCGAATTATTATTCTTCTTAATTATCTGTGTAAAGAAATGTCAAGTTTCGTATGCTTATATGTTGAGTCACTGATTAGAGTTTTGGCCATTCACATTATTTTGTATTCTAAAATAACTTCGGTCTCTAATTAGAGTTTTTGGTTTTTAAAATCTTTCTTATTTCCTTATAATTTCAGTCACGAACACGGATGAAGTTATCTGGTGGTGTTATTTAAGCTAATTGTTTGATGCTCTGTGCATATTCATTAATTCATATATAATTATTTTAATCAGGTGAAGGGTGAAGCAAATATATCATGTAATTTTGTTGAGGTTCAAGGTATGAATATCATCTTTTACAATTGCTATTTTATACATTTTCTAGATTTCATAGATTAATCTTTGTTGATTGTGTACTATTTGTTTCAATGTTAATCTATTTTCAATGTTCAAACTTGTGATCTTTAGTACAATTCGGAAGTTCTTGTTTTAGAGTGCGTGTCTGTTGCATATGTAGTTCCTTGAATGGGCGCAAAAATTCTAATTTCAAGTCCTTTGTTTCTACATTCTAATAATACTGAAATTTATGTAACTAGCAATGTGCCACATAAGGTGTGAAAT